TGCAATTTCAGGGATGTTATGACATAACTTTATTAGCTTTCTCATTTCTTCAGGTATCTTTCCATCTCCTCTATTGCATATTGTGAGGCCCTGAACCTTCAGTGCATCAATCATATGCCTGCACAGCAAACAAAGGCATAAGCTTCCATTGGCATTTAATTCATTTAGCTTAATCTAGCAAACATGAATGGAAGTGGCAGGAATGATGAGACATGGCTTCTGGAACCTGTGCTGACAACTTCTTGGGTACCCCAGGCACACCTTGATTGTGTTTCCCTTGACACTGTTCTCCAACTTGTTTAAGTAGCTAGTCACAAATCTGCTACACATACTATTAATTTATTCCTTTTTGCTAAACGGCTACAAAAAGAAGAAAGCCCAAATCACGATGATGTTTTTTTGTGTGTTTTTTTTTTTTTTCTCACTTCCATACTTTCCAAGCTCTCCAATTCTTGTGTGTCCCAACAACCAAAGAATGTGAATATCTGAATACATATCACTGAACTTCCAATAACAGGGCAGTACATTTTCCTGGAGGGCTACTTTGTTTGGGGAGAGCAACACATTCCAAAGGAAAAAAAAATCAGTTCAAAATCAGAAATCTAAGTTTAGTTAATTCTAGCCTTTAATATTTACTTAGATCCTTAAGGATCTGAGACTTGCTGACAATGTTGAGGGTCTAATTTTGCGGTATTCCCATTGTGGCACACTCAGATGCCCTATGGGATTTTTAATTTCTGCTATGATGACAAAGTGAGGTTGAAAATCTGGGAGAGTGTAAGGAATGTATTATATTCAATAGTTAAGGTTAATGTTCTCCAGTTGGAGGGAAAAAAAAAAACTACAACAACAACAACAAACCTTCAAAAGTGCAAGGCATTTCTGCCTTGTCTGTGATATACTACATAAAGTATTTTCAAATTAGTTCATTAAATTATCTCTGAATTTTCAGCTAAAATCAATATACATTTATAGCGAACAGTGATAGATCAGGAATACAAAGACAAGGACAAACAACAAGTATGCAGTGAAGGTTTTCTGAAGTGTGAAAAAGTGTAGGGTAGTTGAGTGGTTATCATCTGAGAGAGCAGATACTGCAACAGGTTAGGAGATTATGAGAAAATGGGAAAAAGTAGAAAATTGGGAGATAAGAAAATGAGTCCTGCAACACCTGATGGTCAGCAAGGAGACAGATGTCACATCTTCTACATGGAAATTCTATTTAGGTGAGTATGGTGGATGCTCATCTCATAAGGGGATCATGTCATCTTGATTACTAAATGTGGTAGAATACTACAGCTTGTGACATGATAAACTTACTGTCAGAGGCAGCAGACACTGAAAAAGAACTGTTTGCTTATTTCCTTCACACTTTGTCCTTTGGCCAACTTCTGATCTGTCCCCAGCTGCCTCGTGGGTCAGCAGGCGCCACAGCAGCCACTACCAAATGAAGGAATCAGCTCCCACTTCCTTGCCACACCTCTGCTAGAAGAGAGGAAATCCTGTCAAGCTACAGGGATATTATATCAGTACTGCTAAAAACACGATCCTGGGCAGCTTTATCACGGGGCTCTAAAAGGTTACTGACAGAGACCAAATGTGAAATTCATCTTTGGGAATATCTTCAGAGATCTATTCTCATTTACTACCTGAAAGAGTTCCTGTGATAGCAGAAACTCTGTCCATATGATTAAGGCAGTCATGAGTGAAGTTAGTGCTACTAATCACAACTGGAATTAATAGGTACAGTAGGAAACAAGATTACATGATAAATCACTTTTTATAGCAAATTTTTAAAATATGGAAAAGAGGAAAAACTCAATAAAATGTAAAATGTTCAGCTAGCTAACAGATCAAACAAAAAGTAATAGTCCAAGAAACGGTTGCAGCCAAATCTCACAATTTGAACAAGAGCATAAATCTGAGAAGATAAAGTAAATAAATGTGAATAAAAGTACATGAAATTTTTAAATTAAATCAGAAAATAATGGGTTTAATTCTAAAGGGAACAGTGTGTGCCAGAATATTGAGTTATACATTGCTTTATTGAAGAGTAGGTCAAGATCTTATCAGCTCTATTATGAGGAATGTCAATAAAAGGCTGTGCAATGATAAAATGTTTAATTAAAAATGAACATTGTGCAACATATGAACTCTTTGTGTTATACAGAAAGAGGAGTCAAATGTATTACGTTCTTCAAGTTACAAATTGCACTAAATCTTTGCCCTTCTCCCCCCAACTGTACATTCTTATCAGTATGAAATCTTGTATAAAAATAGATTTATTTATATTGGATCTTTTACAAATTAGTTTAAGATCATCTACCTCCAGGGTGCTTCAAACACTTTGAAAATCCAGATCAACTGTATTGAGAACACTGGGCTCTTGTTCTTGGTATTCTTCCAGTTGAATAAGTGGTATGTTTTGTCAAGTTAATTAAAAAAGTAAAGGCTTAACAATGATGTATGTTGATGAAAAAGTAATAGAAACTAGCAAGATTAATTTTTTACTTCATTATTTTAATATACATGCATATAGCGTTAGCATCCTAAAGATCTCTTATCAACTCAGTAGAGTGACACTATGAAGAAAATATGAATGTTTTGTAAGGTGTAAATGACCATAGATGATTCATGTTCCAACAATAGTAGTGTGAGAGAGTCTGCTATTAAAGCAAAAAATTAATCCTTACTAATCATTTCTATTCATGGACTAAAAACAAGCTTATCAAATCAAGTTAGCAAAGAAAAAGCAACCATATACTCATGAGAAGAGTTTGTGATCGCAGATACTGGTAATATTAAAGAGCTATTAAATTATCCATTGTTTCCTCTCCAAGTTCAGGCTCATTTGTACTGTATTTACCTGTTGGATTGCCACCCTATCTTTTGGGAAATAATTCTGAAATCCTTTCTCTCTTTTTATCATATATTATTTCCTGAGTGTTGGTCTACAATTACCTCTAACAATTCCATCATATTTAAGTATAGAAAAACACAGATATAGAATTGTATTTTTCTCTGAGCATAGGATACCCCAAATCAAGAACAAATAAACTTCAATAAGAGAGAATTGCTACCTAAGAAGCAGATTTGGTAGTAATATTAAAAACTAAGTCAGAGGAGGTCTAGTATGGGGCATGAATAGAACAAATCCTTCACCAGGAGCCAGCAGATATTCCCAGGGTCATGGCCTAGCTGAAGTTAAAAGAACCCCCTTACACACTGATCGCAGTGGGGCCAGATATCATCCCCATATTTTATTCATAGTATATCATCACAAATGGAAACTACAAATGAAGTATCATGAAGTGAGGTGCCTATAATTCATAATGTTTTCTTTCACAGTAATAGCCAAGACCTCTCCCTGAACTCCAACAGAGGCAAATTAGTTCCACATGTCAGATACCAACTGCAATATTTTCCCTTACACTTGGTACACAATGAGTGAATGCATTACAGCGTAGAGCAATTAATACATTTCTTTTTGTGAAATAATGAATGGCAGGACAACTCAGAAAAAATGTTGCTCACTTGAAAGGGGTGAATTGCTTGCCCATGAAGAATAGAGAAGTAGGAAAATCAATCAATGGAAAATAAGATAAATTAAGCCCCCCACTGTCTTACATCTTCCTAGTGGTTGTTTTAGTTGCATCATTTTCAATGCTTCTTTCTTTGCAGGTCTCCAGGTACCCCCACTTACAACATGTAGTTTAAAGGTCACCTCTGAGTCTAGGATTACTGTGTGTCACAATCCTAACTAAATCTGTTTAACTTTTAAGTTTTCTTGCAATAGAAATCTAATATATAGGATATATATAGGATAGGACTGCTAAGCACAGGCAACTTGTGCATTTTGCATGCTCTGGGGTATCCTGCCAAGGGCTCAGCTGCTGCTCCAGATGGTCACAGATCTATTGCAGGTTGTGTGTCGTATTTACCAGTCCCATGTTTAAGTAACATACTCTCACCTCAATATGTCTTTACCAGTGAGAAAATAGTAAACAGGAACCAATGCCCTTAGGCAGTGTCTATTCATTGCACTGCACTTTGACCAGAAATGATGTGAGCACGTAGGAAAACATTTCTCAAAATCACTCTCATTAAACCATTCTATTAAGAAAAACATTGATTACAGAGTGTTAATTAAGATATATTATTTTTAATAACACAGGAACTAGGGAGTATAATTTCAGTCACAGGTAACAACCACAACATCCCAAGAATGCTTTAGAAAATTACTGCGAGACTAACAAAACCTCATAGAACATTAGAGCTCAGTATAACACTTTGAAGTGTTAGCAGCTCTGCTTGGTAGAAACCAACACATAGGAAGCCATTACAAATGACAAATCAATGTGAAGCAAATTATGGATCTAACAAAATAATTTTGTAACTGTCCCTTCCATTGTCATACTTCGGCGATTACCCTATAGCCCTTCTGAGTTTTTCACCAAAGAGTTCTCTCCAAGCAAGTCTCTTCTATTGCGTTCTCCATTCTAAGTCTTTCATACGCACTGTCTTTTGTTTCTCAGCTCCATTTTGCTCTAATGTTTTTTTTTTTGTTTTTTTTTGTTTTTTTTTTTGTTTTTTGTTTTTGGAGCACCAAGGTAAGAATGACCATGCGTACTTGTTTCTACTGTTACTTATGCAATGGTCTTGAAAACTACAATCCTGTTATAGAATTATAAGAATTCTTCCCACTGTATAAACCATTGATATTTTAGATACTCATTTTTTTCAAAGCCAATTATAGGAATCTAAATATATCCTTCTCTTTCCAGGTTCTACTGCTGATAATGAGTGGTGAGTTATGCTGCAGTGTTATCAAGATACCTTGAATGTACCTTCTGCTGATAATTTTAGAAGTATAACCAATGGCAGCAATAGCTGTGAGGTCAGGTATTTCTCCAAACTTTAGAAGATTTAAATACTTATTTGCCTTAATTTACATTAAATAGAAAAGTAACTCTAATCTCATGGAAAAGAAAGAAACATACCTTATTCTAAGAGACCTCTTCCATTTTACCAATATTACTCAATGCTGCATGTGACATCACCAGAAGAATGGAGCATCACACCAGACAGAAGTTGACATCTACAGAAAATGTTACTTTCCAGGCCTGTAATATAAAGACAGCGCATAGTTCACTCAGAAACAATGACTCCATAAAATTCTGAGATTATTGTTGTTCAGTTCATCTCTCTCAAATTTAGCCTGCTCAACAAAGAAAAAAAGTTTTCTTTTTTTTTTTTAAAAAAAAAGGCAAAAACACTCCTAACTTTGAAAACTCAATTTGACATATAGAATTCAAGCTTTTTTTTTTTTTATGGTTTCTGCATCATCACCATCAATAATCTTGATCCAGTATCATAAAAGGCTTATATTTGACAAACTAATTTTTGCCATTTATAAGTATGGATATTGTTACTTGCATGTATGAGCTTTCTTGCATTTGCAAAGTACCTAATATACAACAGAATGTTGAAAACCATGTAACAGTTACACAATATATAGGAACTGCAAAAGTGTGAAGCTAAGCATTATAGAGTTAGATATAGATGATCTAGGATGTCTATATATGTTGAAATGAAAGCTACATTACCGGAATTTCATTAATTTTTCTGATAAAGCATAACCAAAGCGGAAGTGGACTTTTGCTCCTAAATTTGCATGCTCTTGTGTACATGCAATATGAACACACGCAGAAAGGATAAGTGAAGACAGATTTGAAGAATAAGTGGAGATCACAAAGAATATAAATCCCGTTATATATATATATATATATATATATGTATATATATATGTATTTCTTCACGTATTCTCTTTTCCAGTCATCAGCCAATTTTTAACCAAATTCAAGATACTTTGTAAACATACATAACTTAAATAGAGTGGCAATCAAATTTACAAAAGATCGATTTAATCTTGCATTACACAAAACATCAGTGACTTCATATATCCATTTTTGCCCCTTATACCCTTTTTGCCAGGCGTAGCAGAATGTCACTAGGACACTATTTAACCAAAACAGATCATGCAGATCACAGTTGAAGTGTATCATTTTAAGGCAAGAAAAAAAGTGTTTTTGGAGTCTGAAAGATTTTTAGCAACTGAAGATATTTTCTATATTTTGTACTAAAACGTTTGTAAAACTGCAAAATGCAAATGTATTTTCTTTATAATTGATGCTTCTAATGATTAAGTAGTTATTTTTCCAAGGCAAATGTACTTTTTTAATTGAAAGTAATACAAGCATAGCAATAGCTATGCAAAACTGCAAGGCAATTGATCCCGGTATATTATCCATCCCCTTCGTTAACCTTGAGTGTTGAATTATGTCTAGTCTATGTGTTTATCATTTCTAGGTATGGATACATATATGATTACAAGACTAAATCTCAAGAGACCCACGGTTCAAAATGTCAGCTCTGCATATACTACAGATGAGCAGGCCCAAAGAAGAAAACAAGCTTGGCATGTTTCTAATTGGTTTTCTTTATTAGCATTCACAGAAATCCCCACAGGCAAAGCCATACACAGTTAAAAGTACTGAGTTTTAACTATTTTTTGTGCAATATAGTTAACCCTTAAGATACAGATTTTAATACAGGCAGGCACTGGCATTGTTGGTTTTGTTATGAAGCTTATAAAATAAATTTAAGTGTTAATCCTTCACATGGTAGCCATTCAATATGAAACTCAGCAATTGTACCATAGTATGACTTTTTCCTTCACTTCACATACTTTCACAGTGATATTCAATCTCATAAGAGGCATAGGAGAATAACTTGAAACATGTACTGCTGTCCTAAAAATTTCAGAGCTTTCAGTGCATAAACATTTATGAAGAACACCTCATGCAACTTCATCTTTGTTGAAGAACTCAAGTCAGATCTACTTTGAATACGCTGAAACAGTAACAGCAGCACATTTCACTTCACAGCTGAGCAAACATGGGATTTGATATACAGATTATAAAGACAAAGAAACAAAATGTATCAAATAAGAAAATAAAAGGTATGTTCAACATTATAAAGTGTAACTCTTTGATAAGGAACTATAGCACACCTAACTGAAATCACCACTTTGTGGAGGGTAACAAACAGAGTTACAATGGAAATCAAAATTTTTATTCCTTAACAAAACAAATCAAAACTCAGTGAGAGACAACAGAGCAATATCAAGAACAAATCCCATGATACTGAGACATTACATGCTAAATGCCATCACAGTTTTTTCTTGGATAGGACGCAAGAATTTAAGCCAAGTGCAATAGAAAGGAATTACCACAAAATATTAATGTCCTGCTGCCTTCCACTATTGAGGGAAAAGAGCATGTAGAACATGCACAGATAAATAAAATCTCCAAAATTTGCCCGAGAACTCTAGAAATAAAACCATTCTCTAAATGTTAAATATTGTACTGTTCTGCTTGTAGCCAAGAACTCAAATGAAACATTATAGTGACCCAGACCTGTATTATTTCTTGTTTTCCAAAAACGAAAACCTAATACCACATTCTGAGGACCACACATTTTCAGACAATCACCAGAGCAGCACCTGAAGAAACTGAACCTACTCTTCTTTCTTTGAAGTGTTCAAAAAATAAAGGAAGATCACAGGTCTGCTCAAAAAATTGAGACAAACAGAAAAAGTGGATACTCTGAAAAATACATTAAATACACTACTGAAGTCATCACTGGCTGAACATAATGCTCTTCTCTTTTTCCAAGAGTTGCAGTAAATACCCAACAAATCGCTATAAAGATTCACAACATTCAAAATATTTAAGCATAAGTGATTTTATGTCATCTACAATAAGAATAGTATTTGTCACTTTGATTTTTGTTTCACTATTTATATGAGTACCAACCTCAATCTTTCATGACTACTGTAAATATTTTGACAATAAAAAGTTCAACAGGAGAGATCCTACTCAGGAAAAAAAAAAAAAAAAAAAAAAAAGTCTGTTAAAGTAGAAAGGAGCTTTTTCTTTGTACACAAACTGCAAATATTATGTACTGTTAATGGACCTTGGACTTTAAATACTTCACCACTTCAGTGTGATCCCATTCCAGCTTCAGAATGAGTTGACAGGGAGTGACAGCATGAAATTAGTCTGCTGATATCTGATCTTTGTCCACTTGGGATGAAGCTTCTGAATAAGAATTTGTTATAGGAAGCATCATCCTCCCTGCTTCAGTTGGCTACATTATTTATCTATTTTATTCACTGTGAGCATTAAAAACATACTGCCTCCAAGGACCCCTCAAATAGATCATCTCCAAGTCACATCTTTTGTATGGGGCAAACCACCAGATGAATTTGTCCATTCCACCTAGGACATAACACTCATAGGGAGGGGATGGTCTTGAAATTAAACTCTGCCACTAATCAGAAATAATTTTTATTTCTACACCACAATAAATAATTTAATTTCTATTAGTGCTACCTCATCTTATCCTAAACGACTTGTATAGATATGTTGGACTGTAATGATGCGAAAGAACCTCTAGCCTAAAAAACTGTGCAGCAGGCAAAGCAGTACTAGTCTGAATGTAGCTTATTCAGCATTTGGCCACGTGCTACAAGAAGCCCCCAACATCCTATTTTACTATTAGTAAGCTAAAGAAAACATTTTATGAGCCATCTTTGGTTATTTCTGAAAGTAGATATGCTAATAGTCTGAACATCTTAAATTGGTGTCTCTTCAGTGGATAAAAGGAAATGTTCCAATCCTTGCTTTCATGCTACCACTATATTCACCTTGATGCAACATTTTCATAAAATACTCCTTCAGAATTCAGTGCCTTGATAGCAAATAATTTTCAGTCTGGTGAGGAAAGTAAGAGAACAAAGGTAAGTTCTGAGCTCATGAAATACAGAAAGAAAACCAAGGTGTTATCTTCTTCTTCCTTTCAAATGGCGAAAGCCTACATCCTGGTATTTTTTTCATTTCTTATTTTCCCATTGCCTTTTTTTTTTTTTTTCCTCTCTCAAGGGAAAAACAGAATCTGAAACATTCTCTTCTTAATTCTGAAGTTTTATATTTAAAACTATTACAGTAATCCAGTAAAATCTTCAAAAGTACTCGGGTAGTGTCATCTCAGTTTTCCTTTGAAGACAACTGAATAAGTAACTACCAACTGACCAAAGAAGTGAGTCACTAAGTTTACAAGTATTTTTTTTCCTACTTCCTTATTTCACCAGTATGATTCCCTGAAATCCATTTTCATTTCATCTAGAATCCATTATGTTGATGAATTTGCTTAAAAATACTTAATCTGATTAAAACCAGATTCTTTATTTATTTACCTAACTCCTGTTAAATACCAAGAAACCAGCAGGCAAAGGTTTAATAATGCCTATTCCTATTATTTTCACTAAAGTATCACTATTCAGAGCAGAAAGAGTACCACACTAAATATCCATGGCTAAAGATGAAGTTTAAAATAGGTCTGCATTCTCTTCTTCAGAAATGCATCCCAGAAAGAGCACCCATCAAGATGAGGACAGTTGCCCTGAATTTATAACAGTGCAACAAGCCGCCTGAGTTGGCACTAGTAAAGCCTGTATTTCTGAGGAACGAGACATCACTCACTGGAGGAACAGGGTACTTGAATTCCATCACCTGGTTCATTTCAAAATAAAGTTCTCCTTAACTAGATTCATGAAAGACAGATACTATGATGGTAAGGTGATATGAATAAAGAGTATTCTGTTTGATGTTAAGGTATGGTCAGATTTTTGTGCACTAAAAATGTAGGAATGTTTAAAACATAATAAAAGTCCATAACTCAAATATTACAATTTAGCAGACTCAATAAAAATAATAAAATAACCTGCTTTCATCTTAATAATTTGAAACTTCAACTCTTTACACATTCTTTTCCTTATTTTCAAATAAATATTTATTTCACCTAACAAGATCTAGATGGCTGAAGTGCTATTCCTGACTTTCAAAGCCTCTGGAGTTGATCTGAGAAGATGCAACCAGTCCACAGATCTTTGAACATTTTTAGAATGGCTCTTATAAATAGAATTGTGAGGTTTTCAAACATGGGTAAATATTTCCTTGATGTGTCCATGCACCATGAGAAAGGTCACTCCTCTCATGTC